TTTGGTTTTTCTCCGGTACCGGGAACCGAACTCACGACCTTGCGCTTGCCAGGCAGGCGCTTTGCCGCTGAGCTAAATCCCCAGCCCCCATGTCATGGTGGTTTTAAGAAGCCAGAGAAATCATCTAGTGCGCATGTGCAGGTGTATACACATATCCTTAACTTACTATGAAGAGAATATTCAATTCCTTCTGCTGGAACCATGGCCACTTGAAGGTGTCAGTAATTCTGCTCATCGCATTCACCCTTATGGAAAGATCTGCATATGGGTGAATTTACTCCTTTTAAGTTTACAAGACATTGATAACTGAAAGATACAGTTACCCAAGATGTCGGTCCACCTGGACATATACTTAATAATTTTGAAGGAAGATGAATTCATCTTTTTTGTGTCTAAATTGAAAGAAAAATACGGCAAGAATGGGATAGAAGAATTCTCAGGCGAAGTTACCTAGCCTATTGTCATCTACCTGAGCTGTCATCCCCGCCTGGTTCTAGCCCCAGAGAGAGTTGACCTGCGGCTCTCTGGTTTCTGCTGGTTGCAGTTTCCCACCTCACAGCCTATCCACAGAGTTGAACTTCACCAGAATTGTTTTCTATGGCACCTCCTTCTCCCCTTGAATTCCCAATTTCTGGCTTCCTCTCACTGCTTAGAAATTATGACATGCTACACCCTGACTTTCTAGACCTCCTAGGTCTACCAAGAATTTTAGAATATGAAGAAATCATGCCAGCATGGTGGTGCATGCCTATAATCCTAACACTTGGGAGGCTGAGGCAGGAGGATCGCTGTGAGTTCAAGGATAGTCTGAGCTACATAATAAGTTCACAGCCAGCATGAGCTACCCAGCAGACCCTGTCTCAAAAAGGAAAAAAGAAAAAAAAAAAAAAGAAGGAAGGAACCTTTTTGCTGAACTTCCTGCCATTCTGTTAATATTGTTGGACCTACCGAAGTCTGTTATTTGCTTTGCGGTGCCTAGACCTGAGTTCTTTGCTTATTCCTCTGAGGAGCTACAGTTTGGTAACTCCTTGTTTCATCCAACCAAAAATTTTTCTCCTGGGGACTGGGGATTTAGCTCAGCGGCACAGTGCCTGCCTGGAAAGCACAAGGTTGTGAGTTCGATTCCCGGTACCAGAAAAAAACCAAAAACAAAACACAACAAAAAAAAAATTCTCTCCTTAGAACATAGAATCCCCTGTAAATAAAACTAAATGTATTCACCTAAGCAATTTAGAAAAGTTTTTAACAAAATGAGGTGAGTGTTCTTGTATGGAACACTTACACACAGTTTACCAGATTCTTGAAGTATTCTGCGTAGATTTCTGTCTTTCCTTTGTCTTTCTTTTTTCCTCTCTCCTCTTCCTGACCCTTTTTTCTTTTGTGTTTTCACGGATTTTATTTATTCATTGATAGTTGTTTCGGGGCTTATAGTGGATTGACAACTGGTGGTCAATTTACAACCCCCAGCTGAACTGAGTAAGCATGGTGCTGGGTGTGGGAGGCCCACCTGAGGACTGTTGCCAGCAGCGTAAGAGGCAGAACTGGAGAAGAAGTGAGGCTGTTGGGAGCTGGTAGCAGCTGTTGGGAGTTTGTTGGAAGCAGGGAGAAGCTGTAAGGAGCTGCTGGTTTTCTTGGAGGAGCTTGTCACACTGGCTTTCCTGATGAACTTGGCTCTTTTCACCCTCCAAGGAGCTCAGGACTTTGTTGTTGGTGAGAATAGCTTCAGTTCACTTTGGGGGAGCTCTGGTCCTCACTCTGAGCATCGCTTCCTGGCTCTGGAGGGGAAGAAGGTACCCAGCTCAGTCTCCTGGAGAAACTTGCTGTGTTGGCTTTCCTAGTGAGAACCCAGCTGTCCTGATCATCAGAGGCACTCAGGACCTCACTGTTGCTGAGGATGGCTGTGAAACCTTTCGGGGAAGCAGTGGTTGCATGTTGCTTCCTGGCTCCAGTGCAGATCCCTCAGCCTGCTAGCACAGATCCTTCATCCCATTGGCACAGACTTCCTAGATTCCACCACTGACCTTTAGGCCTTCCCAGCACAGATCTGTGAAATAGGCCTGCATGAGATATTGTTACAGGCTCTAAATCTTCAGCTGGACTCATGTAGGACATTATCATGGGATCCAGGCCCTCAGCTGGATTCTTTGATCTCTAATGTGTGGACAGATTTCCTGCACTCTCTTGTATATGATTGTTTAGGTAACTATTACAAAATATGCAACCTGTATTTTTTACCTTGCAGTATCCCCCAAACCATAACAGGGCTTTATTTGAAATCATTTTTTGCTAATCTCAGTAAAGACCTCAAATCAATTGCCCTGACCCCAAGACCAACACTTTGATTCTTTCAGCTTTTAAGATCAGACAAAGAACAACAGCAACAAAAAAAAAATGAGGGTCCAACAAATACTGCATTCCCTCTGGCTGTGTTTTCTGTTCTTTGTTTTTGCTAATAAAAGTGGGGCACACTATCCCAGTCACGGTGGCTAGCACTAGTCCCGGGAACTCTAATGAGAAAAGTGGGGTCCAGGTAGAAGAAGGTCAGGCCTTCCCACCACTACCACGCCGTACAAGTTAAGAAAATACTAACAAGTTACCAGACCTAATTTTGCTAAAAGAGGTCATATAGCCTCGCATCTGTCTCCTAGAGACATTTCACTGAGAACATTCCCAGAGTGACAGGCTTCTGCTCCAATACCCCTGAAGAATTGAAGGTCGCCACCTTCTAATTACCTTGTCTATTAGCTCCGGTTACTAGAACATTTTTCATTCTCTTTGAGCAAAATCTAAAAGTGGGGGAGAAAGAAGAAAGGGCTGCCACTTCCACTGCCGTCATGATAATAATCATTCACATTCATGGAAACTTTAAAAGGATCCTGACGCCCCCAGAATGGCCCCCTGGTGCCATCCTGGCGGGGGTGGGGGTTGCACAGCAGGTACTTTTATTGTTCCATTTTACAAATGAGGAGCATGATAGGCAAGATTCTTCCATCTCTAATGATATAAGCTTCCTAAAATTCCTCAAAATGCTAGTTGAAAGGAAAGAACAGAGGTAGAAAGAAACAAGTGAAGGAGGGAGGGAGATTAGATAATGGATATTAAAATCCAAAATGCTTCTTTCAAGTGATTCCTAGCACTCCGGAGCCGTCCTAAATTAGAAACTCGAAAACGCTGTCTCCCTCAGCCAGTGATCCCCACAAACCCTCAGGAGGAAGGATGGACAGCAGTATGTAGCACTTTCTCCTCTCTCCTCTCCGCCCCTGTTGCAAACACACTTTTGAGAAAGCAGTTTCCTGAGCAGAAGTACAGAGATACCTGCGTACTTCACGAACTGCAGTCCTCTTCCAAATAGAGAAAGTAACCATTTTCTGGCCAGAAAAACCTTCCAAGTGCTCAAGTTTCCTTTGGGTCCCCCCCACCCCCGGCAACTGGCCACTCTCCCGCCTTCAGAGCGGAAAGGAGCTGATCTGAGTTCTGTCCCAAAGAAAGCACTTTCATCACTGAGCTGGACAAAGACACAGAGACAGGTGCATGGACTCGCCGGGGGAGAGAGGAGAAGATGGCTGCGTCTGTGGACTAAGCCCTGGACTAAGATAAGACACAGGCTCTTCTGAGCTTCCGAAGGGCAAGTGTGGGAGTTACAGCCACAACGAAGACATGACTGAGGTTTTTTACACAACAATCAGCTCAAAGTGAGTCAACAGAGTGATGTAATCATGTGATGTGAAAACCTCCTTCATCCTCACAAGGAGAAAAGTAAATGATGCTTTGATCTTGGCTTAAATTCTAGACTGACCACATACGGAGGAAGGCTGAGGGCAAATACGTCCGCTCCCCACTGCTCAGACGCTGGTGAAACCTGCCGGCATTGCTGGGAGTCCCGTGCTTGCCCATCCACAGACATTCTTCTGTGGCTCCAAAATCAAAGTTATCGGGTGCAGAAGAGCGAGGGGCTGTAGCGGTAGGAGGAAGAGACTGAAGGAGACAGCACAGCGCACTCTAAGGCCGCAGACAGGAGGCCCAGGTCATGG